TTAATTAATTAGTTAGTTTTTAAAAAAAAAAAATTCAAACATAACTTGATTAAAAAAATAAATAAAGAGCATTAGAGATTAAAATTATAATAAGTATTAAATTTTAGAAATTAATTTAATAACTTATGCTAAAAAAATTTACCACTCATTTCATGTCATTAACAAAAGACCCTGAAAGTCCAATTTAATAAACTCTTTCAAAAAAAAGCTATTCCTTTACCTATTTTGGCAAAAGCTTCTTTTAAGTTCTCAAGAAAAAAAAGAAAGGCAAAGGCAAGGCAAACTATCAAGCTGCTTTTACTTGGGTTAATGGACTCAAGGAATCTCCAAACTTGAACTTTCCTTGCAACAAAATATAATTAACATATTATCTTGGGATAAAGTATCTTAAAAATCTAATTTCTAATTTGTTATACCAAATAATTTATAAATCATATCACACCCACCTAATTTTGGTTGATAATCATTTCTATCCTTCATTTTCTTTTTGACTTGTCTTGGAGATCTCCAATTGTTCTTTACCTTAAAAGTACAAAAATTCCACAAATTTTCATTTTTCCTTAATTATTTGATTACATCTTATGTAATTTATGTTATAAATTCATTAATAAATCCTACAATATCTCTAAACTTGCTTCCATCATAATCTTCGATCATCTATCAGAGTACCTGTGTTATATCATGAATTCACTTTACGAAAGCAGCATGTATTATTTATATTAATATCTCTGATTTCTTTCATCTTTACGTGTTTAAATTATAAATTTAAATTCAATATTTTCTAATTTAAAAGGAATAGTTCAATAATATCTCAAAGGAAACAGATATAAAAAGTGTATGAAGATTTTAAAAAAAAAATGTAAATGGCTATAGTTTTTCCACCTCAAATATACACATACATAAATACATATTCTTTTCCCAGAAATAATTCCCATTTTGCATCAAACAACAAAAAAGAGAAGACAAAAGTGTTATCATTTTCTTTTTGCTCTCCTCTCCATCTCAGCTTTTGCTTTGGCCTTTTGATCTTTCCTCCCAATTACCTGAAAACCACTGTAGTTGATCCTGCCCAATTAATAAGTATTATGTTGATCTTCATGTATAATCTTGCCCAATTTTAATTTATTATTATTTATTTTTTGTTGTTGATGATTTTGTGTTATTTGACATTAAAATCATTAATCGTGTAGAAAGCGTAATAATATAGATCGAAATATTAAAAAAATAGTTACCGAAATAGAAGAAATTCTGTAAACTTACACATAAGTAAAGTTGAAGAAAAAAAATTCATTATGAGTAGAAAGTATCTTATTCCCAAATAAATGAACTTCTTTGAAATAAAACTCTTTCGAAATTATAGACTTGATTATTAGAATTGACTCGCTGAGTGACTTCATCAGAAACTGTAATTTACACAATAAATATTTTTTTTTCCGAATATTTTCTTGCTGTTGTATGAAGAACAATCTGCTTTAATATTTCCAAATATTCATTACATAACATGTAACCTTAGCATGTCACTCATCTTGCTTTACATATGTCACTGTATTTTTTTACAGGCTGTAAATAAAAGCTTTGTATAATTGAAAATAACTCTGTATGAGACAGAAAATTTGGCCACAATCTTATGAATTTTCTCTTGCTGGCTTCTTGAATTTACCTCCTACTTCATTTTGTTCTTTTATGTCCTCAAAAGTTGCCCGATTTTCCCCCCTTCAAGCAACATAAATTTAATATTGAAAGACAACAAATTTGTTCAAATGAATTCACAAGGCAGAAGCTTTCTTTCTTGGAGAACGAAGAAAAAATGTTTTTGACCCTCCTGATTTTGCTACATCCAGAGAATTTTCCTTCATGGAATTTCTTCACAATTCTTCAACATCATGCAACTTCCCCTGCTTTCCTCTGTAATTTTAATCCTGTAATGATACCCATCTTCCTGATCAACTGAATACACTGTTTTACAGCTTTTGATGAACTTGCAGGTAACAATGGTATCAAGCACAACAAATAACGCATACAAGTAAGAAATTAACATCCCCTCCAAAGCGATCGATGACTTCAATCGATCGTTGAGAAAATAAGGTCTAACAACCCTGTACTGAAACAGAGCTTCGATACCAGCCATAGCTAAATTGATGGGCAATGCTAAAGAAAGTGCGGTAGAAGTTCTTCCCCTTATAAGAACACAAGCCTTGAGAAGTGCCAAGAATCCACCTGATCTCTCCATCCCCGATAAAACCAGGGCTAAGTTGCAGATTACAAGGGAATTGGCAAGAATTATGGAGTAAACGACTGCTCCTGCAGCAGACAGGAATAGAATACAGTTGGGGGATGAAAACCCAAATCCTTCAAAAAGATTGAATGCAAAGAAGAGGAGAGAGAAGGCCGATGCATTAGCAGAGAGAAGTAAAAAAGAGTTGAATAAATAGGTGGCAAAAAGAGAGGGATGAATCGAGACGATGGATAAAAAAGGAGGCGGCGAAGAAGATTTTTGCTGATTGAGAGCTTGGATAATTGATGCCTTAGCAAGGAGGAGGAAGGTGAGAGTGAAAGGCAGAGTAAAAATGGAGGTGGAGATTGTTTGAGAGAGTTTGAGGCTGAGAATTGCGAATAATTCGGAGGAAGGAGGGAACCCGGCAGCATTAAACAGAAGTTTGAAGCGACTGTAAATTGTTGGAAGGAGAGAAGAAGATGAAGAAGAGGGGAG